CAAAGTCTTTATGTTAAGTATTAATAATTATACATTTTTAATTAAGAGGTAATCAATTAAAACGTAATTCCTGCTTACAAATTTAGTTAAATGCAAATCAAAGGAATTTGAATTATTTGATGTTAGACTTTAGTACATGAGTAACCCATGCATTTCATTACAACTTTCACGTGTCCATATAATTAGTAATCATTGTGTTCCCTAATTGGAACAAATTTTGGGAAGATTGGACTGAAATTCTAATTTAATTAATAAGCATATATTTTATAATTTTCGGCCATTAGGAGATTGACAATTTAAGATGTTTGTATTAGAGTAAATTATGCAAATAGGAGGCAGATTTGTTTTCCCCGTCCACGTGTAAAAGTCATGTAATGTAATGCCTATCATTTCCTTGTTGTAATTGTAATTGATATAGAAATTGATAGAAAACCAATAATTAATCTCCAGTCATACTATATCAATATGGAATTATGAATCAATTTCTCAGAAGATTGCATGAAATACGAATTTAAATATTGCTGAAATTCCACTTCCCCCACGTGATTACCCGACTTCAACAGTATAAATAGAGCACTAAAATCACATTCTACTACACGTCCATTACCTCTCCCTCTTTAAAATATTCCTCCATATTATTTAGATTTTTTAAGGTTTTGGAATTGCAATCACATTTTTGCAATTTTATTCTCCACTTTCATCTTCAAAAGGTGAGATACTCAGTGCTATTAGTGAGTTTTCCACATCTTTTCAAATACGTTATTATGAATTTAATTACTTCAATTCAGGCTCCTTTGGGAGATATCATGATACATTTTAAGGCACAATTTAGCCTTCACGTTATTTTCAAGGCACAATTTAGCCTTCACGTTATTTTGCAGTGCTTGCTAGAATTATCATTTGTCATGGTGTGATAATTCTCATGTTATGTTGGTAAAATAATTTATTTGTAATTTCATGTTTGACTTGAATGTGGAGTAGCAAGTATCTCATTGAGTATAATTCGTTATACTCATCCCGTTATTTACAATTTTCAGGTAATAATTAGTATGTTGGACGACGGTGGATGGATTTGCTATTGGACCAACGGATCCTCGTCATGAAGTATATTAATTTTCAAAAATACTAGAACTAATAATGGGTTATTCATTTTTGACCCAATTGTGAGTGCATTATAAATTTTCGTTATAACCCAAAACGTTCCGCATATTTAAATTTATCTTTTGATTAAATGTTATTCAATCTTTTACAGAATTTCTCGTTATATTAAAACTGTTTATTTCAAGGTATATTCATGTTTCGTAACGTTTTGGGTTATTAGAATTCGGGGCGTTACAGCTTCACCGTGAATTGCCAATATGATGAAGTTCCGATCACCCCATTTCTCAGCAGAGACAACATTTTGAGAAGCAAATTGAATAAAGAGTCCTCCAAGGAAGCTAAAATAAATTATCTTCGCTTCAGCCCCTCCTGCTCAACAACAATTTCACATCTATAACACCCGATTTCTTTACTAATATGAGTTTGTGGCTTGAGAAATGGGGATGGATTGTGGTTTGAGAAATGGTTGAATTTAGTTAAATGGCATGGATGGTCGTTCTTGAGGGAGAAAATGGTAGATTCATTTGGTGGGGGTGGCTGTAGCTATGGCTATGGGATGCGATGGTGGGTGGCTGAGGCAATCGACAGTGGGTGGTGGTATTGCAACGACAATGGTGGATTGTTTTGTTGGGATTGGGTGTCGGGGGGTTTGTGAAG